GTTCAGAGACGACCGCCTATAATGTCTGCGATCTCGCCAACTGCTACATTCGACACAGTAAACTGCACGCGGTAAAGTAGAACACAAAAAGGCTTCGTTTCGCGTGGCCTCCAACTCACTCGTGGGATAAACACTTCTGCCCTTGTTCACCTCAAATGCATTTATTTAGTCTTTGTTGACTTGATCACCGAACTCAGGGTGTTTAGCATTTATTTGGATCTTTGCTATTCTCTTCCTTTATAGCTGATTATTTTGCCGTCTATGCGACTTCTTTGAGTCCGTATCCTTTCCAAATTTGCCTTCCACTAGCACTCCAAAATTACATCTTTTGTTATTCCTTTACTAATAAGCTGTTAAGATATAGAGGGTTTCCTTTCCCCATCGTTAGTTCCTTTCCTGTACGCCCTCTTGGGCATGGGTGAATCATCTTTCATTTTGATGAGATTATTGGTAGATTAGCCTGGAACTAAAGTGTAAAATATCTATATTTTCGAGTATTTATAAGCAGTGTTATTTTGAGCCACTAGTACATAACATTACTACAGCAATGAGTATTCTACTCAATTTTTTGTCAAGTCTCTTCTTGAGGTATCTTTTCATGATTAGATGCCCTATAGACTCACAGTCACGGACAAAATCGGCAGTGCATTTGAAACAGGCAAAAGAGCGTGGTAGTCAAGTTATCCCTATGGACCCAGGGGGGCATAGACACCGAGTCGGATACGTTATAGACATTATTACAACGGGCCTACAGTTGGTCTGTGATGAAGTGTTAATAGTGCTCTTTGCAAGTGCCACCAATGGATTAGAAATGAATAATGCGCTAAAGGGCTGGTCCCGCAGTGCTTGTCTACAATCTCTAGTGGGCTTCCTACCAATGCTTCTTGAGCATTTTGCAGAATTTCAATGTCAATCCAGCAGTTAATGCTGCACATGGTTGGCTTTGGTGCATTAGCAAGCTCTCCATCATACTTTGGTCTATTTAATGCTAGGTTTTCTGTGAAAAGCTTGTTCATTTACCATAACCAATTACAAATTCATCTGGCTGTCAAATCGGTTTCAATATGTGCTATAAGAGAGAAACTCCTTCTTGACAAACAATTTTCAGACGGATTTATCAGCACCGCACCTGATATCAATAGAGTAGTTAATTTATTAAGGTAAACTCTTATTCTTACAGCTCTGCATCATCACAAGAGTGGGAAGAACTTTTTCTCGACACTTGATGTAAAGCCGTGTTAGCGATTCTAGGCTTTCTTTGAGAAATCTTACCTATTGCTTAAATTGAGTAACTGGATATTTTATAGGCTGTTTTGCATCCCAAACCAGAATTTTGAGGAACATGCAGGACCTACATCAGCATCGCGTCCATTCCTTCATTCTCCCTCCTCCCTCTAGTCTGCATCACTGCGTTCTTATGCCCTCTCCCTCTCCCCACTCTTGTTGTCATCTTAGCGACAATCGGCACGTGCTAGCCACGTCTTTTCCCCCATTCACTGCTCTATACACCAATCCCCCTTCCTATTATCCACCCTACAGATTCTGCGTTAGATATTAAAATGTCCATTCCTTAATGTGGGGAAAAATCTTGTCCTCTGTAGTCGCCTACCAGCATGAGTGTTCGTGGCCTGTAAAGGCTACGCTGTCATCTAGCAACTTATAAGTGCAAATTTTACCCCATTTGTGGTTCCTGCACTTTCCCTTGCTAGTAAATTTGCCTGTCAATTTTTTTAATTGTAAAATTTATTCTGTTATGTATGTTATTAATACTGCTTAGACGGGATATATTTAGACTCAAGGCTCCCCTAATTAGAAGGTTATGCGTTTGAGCCTACCTTTTTGAGTCTATTCGATTCACCCATACCTTTGCTGCTTTGCTTTTAATTCATTATGCCTAGCTTGCATCAATGGCTGTGATTAAACGGCATTTACTCAAGGATTCTCCTGATTTTCCCACCGCCTCTTTTAGAGCTGTGGAGAGTAGCAACGTTTTTAAAGTTGATGTGGATGTGATCATTACTGAAATTGAGCCACAGCACCAAAGTCAACAGCTTATGGATACACTTTGGACAAATTTTATCGTAGTGCACTTTTAATTACAATCTTTGTCACTTTATAAGTCGACAAAGCTGCTAGCATTTATCTATCGGGCATCGATACTTTTTTATAAAACAACAGTAAAAGCGGCCCCCCAATCATAAAAAAGGCACCCTCTCTAAGACCATCGAATTTAGATAAGAGCGCACGGAAACTGGAACTCTGGCCTGTATCTCGTGATGGAAGGTAGTGCCAAGGACTACGAAAGGAGAATGTGTAGCTTATCAACGGAGTTGGATGACTATCGTGCATGTCTGCAAAAAGCTGCATGCAGTGCGCGGTCAGTCGACAAAACAAACTACTCCCTACAACGGAGTATCCTTCTCCGCAAGTCAATTATCATCTTAGCTTTTAGTAGTAAATCGCTTCTGATAGAATGAGTATTCGTAAAAGTCGTAATGTTTAGCTCAGATTCGTCCTTTTAGATCGCACACTCCCTTACCCTTTCAAATTTAGAACATCTCTTATCGCAGTTCAGTAACAGACTTCATTTCAAAAGCTCTGTTCTTTAAGGTTAAAGGAAAGCGGGAATTAAAGACCTTAAATCTACTAATGTGCATCATGCAACGACAACGACCGGCCCCATGTGTTAACTCATTAGTAGTTTCAAGTGAACTGGTTTCTTTTAATCATTTACAGGATTTAAGGAAACCTCACAGGCCTAATCAGTGGAAGATGTAATGTTTTTTGAATTACTTGGCAATCGCAAAAATTGCATAAAACTAAACCGTTTCTTCAAAACTGGGTCTTACTCGTCCAATAGCCCAAGGGTAGCTACATCCCCTGCCATTAAACTTTGACAACAAAGGCGCTCTAGTTGTCCCAGCAACCAGGTCTGTTCGTGATAAAGTTGCCTTCTCATCTCCAATTCGCTCACCCTACTTTTGCGCCCAAAAGTGTAACTCTTTGTATTCACACAAATGTGAAAATATTTACCCGCTTGCTTGATGTTTAATGTCGGAAAATTGTCCAAAGTTAATGGTCTTGAGTACTAAGAAAAACCTTGACATTGATTTTAGCCCACGAGTGGTATCCCTCCAGCAAATTATTAGCTTAGATTTACGGATAATTACTTAAACCCTTGAATCACAATACCAACAGACGACTGTTTAAACCACATTAACCAAACCATTTGATTAAAGTAAATTTCACGAATTTTGTGAGATCTAAAAGCGTGTCAGGCGAACGCAAAATACCAGTAATTTATGGTTCAGCAATACAAACGGCGATTCGACCTACTCGTTGAATTTCCGTAAAACTAAGGCAGTTCCTTAGGGATGCTCGACTTTTACCGTACACAGGTTCGAAGTTGTTTGATTCCTCAACCAAGTCACTTCAGAAAGACTGGCTTGCGATGCGTTTATTTGTTCACTCAAGACTTAAAAACTGATGAATGCAAATGCATTCATTTCTCATTGCCAGCTTAGCAACACCCAAACCTTCTCCCCTCTACCTTCTCCCCAAATGGCCACTATTTTGCGAATCGGTTCAGTTATTTGGACACGTGTCGCCCGCTGCAGCGCATGCGCACCCTGATGAGCAAGTGTGAGGAGTTTACCTCCACTCAATTACCCCCAAGAGACAATGGCAGGCGTAGGAAGTGGGAGGATCGTGCGCCTGAGCGCATGTACGAACATTCTAAGGGATCTCCAAATTTTCCGATCGAAGGCTCATGATTGGACACAATAGGCCTCCTCTGCAACTTAATTGTTTCTTTAAGACTTGAGGTACAAGTAATTGTTTCAGCTCCCTGTAAGCCATAAATCAACATTAAGCATAGCTGAATCACTTCTTCAATGTTTGTTAAATATGACACGGATACTTGAGACCCAATTCATGGGTTTATTAACGTGAAAGCAACCATTATCGGCTTTGTTTAAATGCTTTAACAGATCGTCCACCTTACTCTTAGAAAAGAGCGGCAATAAACAACCGACCCGCCATAGTTCAACGTAGATGTCCCTAATTCCAGATTCGAGCTCATTTGTAGTTACTCTTTAAACCATTTTAAAATATTTCGAACCTTTTAAATCGTAAAGCCCAACTCATACCTTGCTTTAGCTAGTTTTTCTCACTGTGCTCAAATTACTCTCACTCTATTGCCAGTATTTTGAAACAAAATTTTATTAAGATTGGAAATCATTAAAACTCCGGACAAAGTAATATTATGCCTAAAGAAGCTAGAAATTGGACATTTGCTAAAACTTATTAAGCTATGAAAGATGGGATATATGCTGCAATACGTGGAAACGAAGACTGAGCCCCTCCTAAATATTTCCTCATGGAGTTGTTTATTTATGCGAGCTTAGTAGAACATCGCATACAGGATCTAAAGAGTGATACAGGAAAGGAAAGGAGGTTGTATCTATGAGAGTAAAGACTTTTGACTCCCTGAGCACGGCGTTCGATTTAGCTTTCGGCTCTCACCCACAAGTCACATTTTAAACAACTCATGAGTAGGGCACGAATATCTAGAAAAAGTACCAATCGCTTTGGTGTCATTGGGTTTTTCATTTACCCTAAAATTATATGAAACGGTTTTGCATGTATTTGTACCAACTTTCAGTTTCGCTATCGAAGTAACTTTAAATAATTTTAAAAACAACTCAAAAATTGCTACATTGACCAAGAGCATTTCATACAAAATGCAGGCTTATTAACGATTAATATAATAAGCATTTGTGGGACTTTATTACCTTAAATTATAATTTCGAAAATTTAAATGCGATTCGCACAAATGCCTGATTATCATTGGCCCGCATTGGTGATCAACGCGCCGAAATATGATTGGATAATGCAACCCAATCACAAGAAGGCTCATTAAATCGTCTATTCAAAAGCCGTATATTGACAACTGCGAGGACTGGAATCTGTCAGCTGGGTTGTTAGGTCCTTCACGCACGATGTATTTCGACTACAACTTTGTGGAGACTCGGCCACTAGCATACAGCACCCCTCACTCCATTAATGTGGATGGGTACGTCCACCATCAATGCCCCAGTTCCATTTTTTGTCCCGGCTTTGTTCAGCACAATCAACAGCAGTCGAAACCTTCGCATTCACATCCTCATTCCCAAGTAGTTCCAAAGGGTCATGTATGTCCCCGACAACTGAGATTTTCATTACAGGTCTACAAGGACAATGAGGCACTTCCAATTTGTCGGAGCCTTCAAGAGCTACCGACCTCAACTTCTGGAAGTACTAGTTGGGACATAAATGACAAACAGCTCCCGAAGGTTTGTTTCTATGGTCCCTGATCTATAGCCTCTATCATTTTTAGACGCCGCAAATAACTGATTTTGACTCATGGCCAGACGGTCATTGCCAATTTGTTTATCTGAAGACCAGCTCTGATTTAATCAAACGGCATTCAAGTGGTTGGGCAATGCGAAACACAAATAATCACAACAAACACATACTGAAAAAGAGCTGCCTCGGTGTCTTATTGTGCAGTTCACCTAGTTGCAGTGTTACCCTACGCCCGGCTATTTGCGACAAGGCCAGAAAAAGCCAAGAAGGTGGCTATTAGTCGATCGGTTTGCGTTCATTGTAGTTTTTCATGGTTTAAAATTTTTATGATTCATGGGTCTAACTCCTGCCAAGATGATTTGCCATCTCCTCATACTGCGAATCTTTTGTCTTTGTAGCCATGTCCTTCGACATTTTTTATTATTTCATTGTCGACTGCTCAAAGCAGCCGCTTTTGAAATCTAAAGGGGCCAGACCGATACCGCGTCTAGTCCTGTGTGCTACCTTGCTAGGAGGGGAAAGGGTAGTGAATGAAACCGGACATTTGGCTATTGGTGCCCTTGGGCCCTTGGGCTAGATACCCTGTTCGTGGCAGGTTTGAACGTGAGCAGAGGTTTCTTCTAATAGGCTTAGTTGATGTCTGCGGTCTTATGAAGTAAGGTACACGTCACCCTACCTTAGTCTTATATTGATTGCTGTTCTGCAACCACCGTCGGCAGGGTTAACAAGGCGGGCACACTAAGACGTGACGTGACCGGACAGACAGGTGCGACTTTTGTTCAGAGTTCCCTTCGCCCTCCCCCTCGATCATTGACAGAGTGTCTTAACCTAGAAAGTGATATCATGCCTTAAAACGTGACTGTTAGAATCCTAGGTCCCATAAAATTATGCTTTTGCTTTATTATTTTTGACCATATCGAGTGAAATAATGGTTTGGAATGAGTCCCATTAATTAAGTATATCGTGCTCAAACAGGTACTCAATCCAATCTTCAAAGCGATTGTCTGAAGGAGTAACTAGTAAGTCGACTATCTATGTTGTACATCACTAGCTTTTAAGACCTCTACTTCAGGCAAACAATGCGTACGGAAAGGTTGTCCAGGTCAAATCTACCTCCATCCGTGCCGTGGCAACGAAGGTTATCCCGTGACTCATTTTTGGCGCGAAGTCGGTGACCTTGTGTTCTTCCAGGCCAAAGGTACTCACGGCCACTTGCGTCCCAATGCCAAGGCCGCTCGTAGCAAGCCAAACCGCTCAAAGTCTTCAAATCCGTCTACCGATTTCACCTCCCCTCGGCGACCCGGTCTCTCTGAAACTACCATCAGTTCAGTAGAGATGTGCTTTTCCCCTCAAGCAGGTACGGCATTACAATGTACAATGTACATTGTGAGCGAGTGAAAACCATAATTTCTGCCTTCCGTGGGCAGACTGTGCCACAAGATTTTTTGATGGTTAATGCCTTCCCAATAGATACGTACTTTGGGACCCATCTGCCATCGTTTATAACGGAGAGGAACGTAGCCACGACGAATGCACCCTTTTGTTATCCTTCTCAAATGGGTGTTAGAAGTTTTGACGGTGGTATCGATGGCACTAGTTTGTGTAGTCCTCCGCCCTCTCAACTAACGTTATCGATGCCACAAAACTTTCATCGGTGTCCCACTGTGAGTTCCCAGCTTTATCAGAATAGCTCATCGAAAATGGGCTCCCATGGGATGGGTCCGAGCAATGGTTCTTGGTGCACCCTTGCTTTACACCTGCCGTCCTCCGTTGAGGAAACTAGTGACTTCTCCCCGTGGGCGTATCACGTTCCCGAAGGCACCTCCGGATTCTGTTCTGACGTTAACACCTTCCAAAACTTCAACTATCAACATCGTTATTCGCGTCCTTTGAGGGCATCGAGTTGGTCTCTGCAAGTGCACGATGCCCATGGACACTCTTCAACCATGAATTCCTCTTATCTTCCTTATGATGGCTCCCCTCTTCAATCTTCTGGCGCATCTAGTCACTGCAGCTCTAATCAACGAATTTCAAGATGATTTAAATCATTTTATACCTGTAAATGTAATAGCCATTTATGTATAATCATATTTCGCAAATTGTTAGTTCCTCGGCGGTGGTTGTTCATAGCCACAAATCCAGGTGAATGAGGGAACAATTAATAGAACAAATGATTGCTCATAATTATAATAGGACATCTAATTAGCCTATTGCCTGGCAATGACAAATGCGGTGTGTAATCACTGTGACGGAGTGATGTCCCGTTTTGATACCCGTCACATCCACTATCTACTGCAGTCATCTCAGTTTTGTGTATTTTATGAACGCTGATAGCATTGAAGTTTACCGCAGTACAATAGAGACGGGTGCCGAGACCAAGGATATGGCCGCAGCTAAGGCTAGGAAGATCGTATAGGTAATCCTAGTAAGACGTTACTGACTCAATGGTTGTATGTGAGTAATCAGTGCCGCAGGTAAGGTTCTGTCATATTGGTTAGCTTAGAATGGAGTCGAGTATTGCTGAGGAAGCAAAAGCAACGCCGCACATCAGTCGCACATGCTACAAGTTCCATCATTTGCCTACGCAAGTAGGCTAGATGACAACAGGCACACTTCGTCTGCCCTAACATCTATCGAGGTCTTGTCAGCCCGAGCTAATGGACTGGCTATTAAGTCACGAGTTTGAGGTAGGTAAAGTGGATGTTTAGGTTTCCGTACTTATGGAAGACCTTCGTGGGATGGGGAGGTGTCTCTTTTTCTCCATTTTCTGTTTTTACTTTATACACTTGCGACTTGTTTAATCGACTCACATTTATCGCGCTCAGTCAAGCGTCAAATCACATGTCCATACACTTGTACTGCCTTATGAACAGCTAATCCTATCTCAAAGAGGTGCGAATAGTCTAGGTTTGGAGGAAATAAGCGGACATTCCAACTGATGCGATTTGCGAACCGGCTCTTACTACCTGACACGATCTTGTGGATTGGACAGGGCTGAAAGCACTGTCTCCGCGTTTGTTATATTGAGGTCACACCAGTAGCTCACTAAGGCCAGCCAACTCACCTGATTGGGGAATGCAGCTGTTGTAGATCTTTGGTTATATCTTTGCAGTGGGCATATGTTCGTTTAATGTAAGCACCGCGTGAATACTTTAGTCTCAAAAAAGCATTCTACCGCATAAGCTCCAATATCGTACCACCGTTTCAACTATCACTTGTACGCGCTCCATAAAGTGGCTGTGATTAAACTACCTACAGGTTAGTCGCCTGTTCGTGCAATTTTGTCAACATTTTTTCTCGTCGAGATGGGTAGATCGCCTATTCACGTCTCAGCGCATGCGTCAACCTTACCGTGTCACCATTCCTTCATTGAGGGGATTTAATTGGCATGAGTGAACGTGCAGCCGTCCTAACACCTTCTAAGGCTCCCAGGCGAAGGTACTTTAAAATGTGTATGCAGGAATCATAAGACGGATTTGATTCAATTTGTAATGCCTTAAATTGCCAATCAAACATTAGTGCAAAAAGAGGTTTCCAACATTTACTCAGCAGCCCTTTTTCTGCTGAAAGGACAGTCAAGCAACAAGTTCACGCTCCTTGGCACACATTCATTGCAAACACTTTTTGACAAAAGATTCGAACATTTTTGGGCCTGAGACTTTAGTGAATCGGTATAAAAATGACTTTGAAAAATGAGATTAAAACTTATTTTACTGTGGTAATTTGTACTGGTCATCTCGGCCTCATATGCATTATTTGCACCTTTATTGTGCCTAGGCTTTGTCTGTTAAAAATTTCTCCATCTCAGAAGGTTATGTTTTACACTTTCAGACAAAAATGTGCATCTGCACCCTTTCGGCTTAGGACAAGGTCTAAAGGCAAAGGACGATTGAGCTCAACCGCGTGATCACATTTTCTGTCTAATCACGTCTTTAATGCATTCAATTCGCTTTAGCTTACCCTGTTTTATATATTACTAATGGGAATGTTCTAGAGATGAGACTGAAATTTTTTATTTATGACTGGTAATGAAATAAGTTGCAGAGAAAATTGTCTCTCATGGTAGGAATCAAAAACGCATAACACTCGAAAGCCGAATGTCATGAATGATTGCCATGGCTTGATTGACTGTTGATAGATTGCAATATGCTGAGCTCAGAAATATTAACTCTTTGTTTCGGTGACTAGCTCGCATTGAGGAATGAGAACAATGATGCATGTGGCAAAAGTTTTCTTTCGAAACGATTTAAGTAGGTAGGTTCTTGCAGTGCAATTCTGTATTAGTATTCTGTTGAAGTGGACGCACGGTACCATCATTTTCCGCACTGCAACATTGTTCCACATTGACAGATTTTACAAACATGCATCTTCCCTCCTCGGCTAATAACTAACTCAGTCGGTTTATTTGCCACGCCATTCCACGCTGATTTAATCTTCTTAGTCAAGGAATAAACTTTATGAACCTAGCAACCTTACTTTCTCAGAATCGAAAAATATACTGATTTCATCGACGGTGATCTAACTCGAAAGATGAGAATAAGAAGTGTGCAGAGGTTGAACATCAATGGAAGGTAAAGTCACAATTAGAGCCTCAAGAGGACTAGCGCCCCACAAGACGATAATACTGACCCTCTAGTCTGGTAATTAACGCCTTAGACTACAGACAAGGACTATTGTCAGTAAGTCATAGCAACGGTCCATATATCCTTCCCTGGGATTTGATCTTTCTTGATTTGCACACCCTTCTCTCATTTCGCCAATTTCATGAAACCTCCTCCATTAAATAGCTAAAACTTTAAGCCTCATTTACCCATTTTTCCGCAGACAAACCATTTTCACCTTCGAGTAGCACGTCTGGTTTTAATTGTGCAAAATCTTTGTGAGCGCGGTAATCCCCAATTACTCGCGCCTTAAGAAATCAACTCAGACATCTAGTGAGATACAAGATTAAATTCATCAATGCAAGAGCAAACCAAACGCAAAAAAACTTGTGAAAGCCAAAACATTTTATTACTTATTATTCATAAATCCTCTCAATCCACACACTGACACTCTTCTTTTAAGTCTCATCCACCAGAAAGATTGAAACAAATTAAAGATGTGGAACCCGAGTTTAGAGAAACTATGGGCTTAAGGTGCCTTACATATAATGTTTTAGCAAGGAGTGAAATTCACGGTTGCATATGTAGTGGTGATTTTCACCTCAATAAGTGTATCATAGCTATTTTGCTTATTGATTTATGCGTACGCAAGGAACACATCGCGATCAAACAAAGGCGGGACTACCTATCCGTACCTGTACTCCCCATATCCAACGTAAGAACTCCGACTAGTCGCGATTTTAACTAAGAACAATAATAAATTACTGCGCGAAGCCGTAGTATTCGCGAGGGATGGCTGAGTTAAGTGAAGGGAAAGTGCCGTCCACACTAACATACAAAGGTATCACCACAAGCATTGATAAATGAGAGCGAGTGTCGGTCAAGGTCTCCCATTTACTGCATATCGCTCCACTAGCTCATCTCTTGAGGGCCAATCTGCAAGTAGATATGCAAAATACTGTCAAAGGATAGTAACCAATACAATCTCTTTGATTTCGGCTGCACCGATTGATTGCCCGCTAGCTCGAGTGCAAACCGATGTTAGAGACTGTGAGATGCAGAAAGAATCATAGAGACCGATGTTGCGTGAGAAGGAACGATTTGGGATAGGGAGGGATGATGATGCATCGTTGATTCCCGTCAATCGACGACAACACCCACTTTGCTCGTTGTTTGCCTGTCGAACTATGCGACAGGGTTACAGGACCTCACAAATCCCTTTGTTATCAGTATATGCATTCAACTGAATGAATGGGACGGCAGCACTTGTATAAAGCAATCTGATTAAATCTATAGCATGCTCCAGGTCCCACAAAACCCAGAAAATCTTGTAGTCGATACAAAGCGTAATAGTGATGGTTTGAAACAGTTTATGACCTGAATTACATTGTTACTCCAATGAGAACGGAGAACTTGACTAAATAAAACTTAATAATTCATGTGGTAGGGTGTTAAATGCTTAGAATTGATCAGCAAAGTTGTTTAAAATACCAAAAAGAGAATTGGGCTCGTAGGTTGATGAAATAAACAAAAATAGTCAAATACTGTGTACCTGAAGGGTAGTTGTCAATTTATAAGTTAAAATACCTAACTATCCAAGGCTGATATTCTTTACTTCAAGTGCAAAATCATTCCAAGACTCCAGAAGTTCCGGATTGTTTTGGAGAGAAAAGTTCACCTTCCATCAGAGGCAACCTTACCGGTCATTACACCAAAATACATGTACAATTCCCAATTAATACCTTTTAAGAGCCTTTCCGATTGAAAATGGAAAAGAGCCGTTCAATTCTTGGATTAGAAAAACGATTGCAGTTACTCCTTTTCCCCAAGTGCCATTGCTTCCGACAAAGTGCATGAAATTTTTGTTAACATAGGCAACCCGAGTTCTTCACACGTCTCTCAGGCAACCACGTAATAGTTCAGAAATGCCGAACTCTAAATAAGCAGAGAAGCATATTTGTGTTATAACATAATAAATAGGTCAGAACATACAAAATACTTCAAGAATAAAATAGTAATAACCATTTACACGGCTGAAATGTGACTCATTTTCGCAGCCGTTGGCTCTTAGTAAATTATAGTAGCTGATAGCAATGCAGAAACGTATGGTACAGAGGCCTGATAGCATACCTACCCAGTAGTTTTAATAATCCAAGGACGGTACACTACAAGGTATATGGGGCGGGATAGGAGGGTAAACGGAAGTCTGCTGGTCACGGTTGGAGACCCCTTTTGGAAAGTACACCCTCAAAGAGTTTTATTCATCTATCCCATACTGTATATTGCTGATATTTTGTCAGATTTTGCAACATCCAAGCCATCCACAAAAACACCTTAAGATAATTAAATGCTTGTTAGAAATGTGTGACACTAAGACGCCAGAAGCAGTGGGAATCGGTGACGACAAATAAATTGCTGAATCCGATTCAGTAATTACCTCACCTTATTCGAGACATGCAGACTGCACCCTAGCCAACTTTAAACACAACACTGAGGAAGTCAGCTTAGCGTACTCAGAGTCATCCCATTCGGGCACATTCATTACCTAAGTGGCCATCTTGCTGATGACTACTCCAAGTACGCGGAAATGAGTCCCCGTCAACAGCTAAACCCAGTTACCATTTCAGGCCTATCAAAAGACAATTAATACTCCCTAAAAGGTCAATAACGCAAGCCATTATCGAAGTCGACAAACTAGTGCGACACCGGAAACTGCCAATTTCCACGTAAGGTTCACCCGATATGGAGAATGGGAGCAGTAAACGACTCAGTGCATTCTAGAACGTTTGATGCTGTAGAAAAAAGTGGGATTCCTTATGACAAGTTGGAGTCGAACCCCACCTGTAGGCCCTAGCTATGGCAGGATCATATTGATTCGCCGTTCTCTGCGTGAACACAAGTTATCACGGATAGTAGGGAAAGTTACCGTCAGTTCGCAAGTTCAAATGCTCACTTGAATCACAACTACTATGACCTTCTTAAGTGGTCAAACACTAAATATCATAAGTGAGAAGTAAGCATCACACGAAGCCGTTAGCAGATCTCAAGACGAGAACCAAGCTTTGATAGTCAACCACACACAAACAGAAAGAAAAATGGAAATCCAGAAACAGAACTCCAAAAGAGATGAGCAAATTTCCACCCCTTTCAAAACGAGTTATGAGTAATCTGACAGCATACGGGTAAAAATGACTAACTATATATCCCCACGGCTGGGTAGTCGAACTGACGCTCGAGAATAAACAAGCAAAAAACATAAACGAGCGTACTGATATCTTCCATTGAATAAAAATGGATGCACTGATCCCGTCGAAAGGTGCATTGCCAACTTTTAATCAACAAAACAAAAGTGAGAATAAATGCGGCAAACGTAGACAAGACAAGAATTCGATTGGAATTAACTTTAATGGCTTTGGATAAAAAAGCATCTCCAGAGAAAAAATGCAAAATATCAGCAATGCTTCATAGGGGCGTGTATATTTAGCGCAAAATTAATTCAACGAAATATACATGAGTGGAGATCACTGCTTCCGACCACCTCTTAGGGCGAGGACCAAGTGAAGTACTGATCCACCTTGAATTTTGTAGTCATTTACAGTCTTTTCATCATTCATTTGTTTCCCAGAGAAAATGAGACGCTGTTGAGGAGGTGGAATACCCTCCTTCTCCTCGATTCGCTCTTTTATTCGTTCGATTTTGTCGGTTTGATCGATATCTATTTCAATTTCCTTGCCGACCAAAGTCTTCACCTTGATAAGCATGTTGACTAAAGGCAAAGAAAAGATTGACATCGACACAGTTTTGCCGACTTTTTGGAATATCAATTGAGAAAAGAGAGCATTAGAGATGAAAAGTCTCAATATCGCGAAAAAATCCATTGTGCCAGAGATAGCGCAACATGTAAGCCTTACAGCAGCACAATCAGCCCACAAGATTTTACGAGTATAGTATGCACGCTAGTGAGGTAAAAGCATCAAGCCAGAGCAAGTGAGCCAAATAGAAGCAAAACGACCATAACTACAACAAGTTAGGACTACCACACTTCAAGAATTTAAAGACAGATAGGCCGAACTAGGGTAACTAACCGACCAACGTACTCAGGCCTGGAGAAAATCTTTCGTGAAATAAGTGCAAACAAAGCTTAACCCGTCATGCAAAACACGGTAATGAGGAGGGCGAAAAAGAGCTGGAGCAAACTACGCACTCAGAAACACAGCACTAGCAAGTATAGCGCGCAGTGTACCTGGGACAGGATTGGGTGGAAATAGACTTCTTCAATTACGTGAAATGGGAAGCAAGAAGTAGAGCAATATTCGCATTTTTACTAGCAATTATGAAATATATTTGAGGAGTGCATTTCGTCACTCTCAGATGAGGAAATGAGGCAATAATTATATAATGTTTCCAAGCCAACAAGGTAGAAATGTCCGTTAAAGCAGTTGTTGCCACACTTCCTTTCCAAAACCAACCTTGCATACACCATTGCATCTGCCCAAATACTCGAAATATTATATGTTTGGTTTAGTAAAGTTTGATGACTAAGTTTAAATACCCATTTTTGTGCTAGTCTTCATTGCTAAAGTTTACCCGCTTTTTTACCTCATTTTGTTGTGCTCGGAGTTTTTATTTATTTATAGGATTTTTTCGTGCTTAATTCCATTTTTTTCCAGTAGGTATAACTTGACCAAATCGATTGAGCAAAGTTTGTCTCATCTTACTGAGTCCCCTGCAGAGTATTAAATTTGCAGGGAATTAACAACGGTGTAATGTTGACTGTGATGGCCTTGAATAATTACACCATTATGTTGGCTCGTTAACTGCCCCCAAGTTGTGCCTATATCTTTGTTTCAGGTCTCGTTGCTCATGTTTCGTAGTTCAGTAATTTGATTTGCTAAGTTCTACTACCACTAGATATTTTTGCATTGTAGTGATACTTGATGTTATCCTCTTTAGATGGCGTTTGGCCTATATGCTCTGCTGGAGGCTAGTGTTCTCGTACTGAATGCCATCTGTATTCTTAGTGAACAACGGTTCCTTGCTAAATGTACGTGATCCTCTCCGACTAGTTAATTTTCAACTGTAGATGGATGGGGGCCTGATGCGTACCAGTTTGGGAACGATGTCTCCACTAAATCGCGCTTGTTGACGTTTATCACATCGGTACGAACCGTCATGAGGAGTAAGACCAGAACTCACTCTTATGCGTCTCTTTTCTAGTCCCCCTTATAGGTGTAAATTCTTTGCTGATAGTTTTCAAGCTTGTCTTGGGTTGAGCAACACGTTCGCCATGTTGTTTCCCGATGCTTCATAAGCATTATCCTAACACCATTTCGCTTGACACGTTCTTCGAGAGACTTTGACGTTGTAGTGGTTAAAATAAACGTTCCATTGCTTGTTACTCTGGCGCCCTCAATACCATAATGAGGATAAAAGGCTTCAATCCTGGGAACCTTCTTTGTGAGGTACCGATATTGCTGTCCGTGGCGCGTAACTTCCTCAACGTGGCTAATAGCTAGTGTTTTGACCTCAAGATGCGGGATAGATGGTTGCAAATGCATGAAACATGCATAGGATTCGCGTCTGTCACATAGTACTTCAATCATTAATGGCACTACGATGTGGTTATAAAGTTGGCAATCTATTCAGGAGGACTATGTCACAGAGGACGAGTATTTCGCCCTCTTACCAATTTGGCGTTGGACAAGTAGGAGGGACGGCTATCTTCATTTCCGACGCTCTGCTCTAGTTGACATCAGTCAACACAACAGGGATCTTGATCTCCACCATTCTATGGAAGGGAGGGTTCGCAAGCGAGGCATTTTGAGCAGTAATGTTGAGATTAGGCGACAAGCATGGGGTCGACGGGCCCTCCAGCCAGTGACGAAGCAAAAAAATCACAAATCTCACTAAACGCTTACAATGCTGACTTATGTTCAGTGTTAGTAGTATGTACGGTACCGCAACAGCTTGGAAGTAGGTAACATCAATTACCTGAATCCCATACCCCTGGGAAATGCTGCAAAAGATGAGTGCACTTAAGACCCTTTTTTTCCAAAAGCCTTGCTTGAATAAGGCAGGGTAGCGAATCTGCGCTCCAAGTTTATTCTCCAAACGAGTGCCTATTCTGAGTGGAGACAAGCACACACGGTTGAAGGGGGTCAAGGAGGTTAAAGATGTGGTCAGGTAGTGTCCTCTAAAGCGTGTACATGCTGCAAAAAACTCACGTCATTAGGCTATGAAAATGAAGTCAAAAGTAATGAATAAAAAGTAGAGTTGCGTTTGTACAGCCTGTATGTACAGAGCAGCTTTATAAAAGGCGTACCACCGCGCGTGGGCGTTTGGAGACGCGCTTGGGTGTAAGGCAACGAAAGAGAAGTAGATGTGTAAGAGATTGGTTGTCTTATCACCACATTTGGTCCAGCTCGTAAGTTTCTATCACGGCTGCTGCCCTGCATGACACTGAGCCCGCAATAGACAACAACAGTGGAAGGTCACTACGATGACATCTAAGAAAATACGAAAGAGGTGTTTACCATCCAGCCACAAGTTTACCGCAACTAGTCAGATATCATGATGTTAAACGGATAAAAGAAAGTGATAACACAACTGGCTACCCAGTACAGATCCAACCGTAGTACACCATGGCACTGCGGATTGATTTATAATAGGCTATGTCAGTACACGGATGAAGGATGGGAGTTTTAAGAAAGAAAAAGAACAGTTTCACAATGTGAAAGTGACAATCTATTGGTCATAGTACAATTTGGTTACGATGTGCAGCCACAGGCCTTGACCCTTCCAAAAGGAGTTACGTGAACCTTCTCCACATGGTTTGGACACGTAAAATGCTGACGAAGTTAGGTGACCTCAGACACACCACTCGCACTGGGGACCGCATTTATCAAAACCATCAAATACTCAACCAAGACCTTCAAGCAAGTCATACCACCTCACTAATCAGTCAGCAACTAAAATTTTCCATTAGTACAAAATAAGGATTGCATTAGCTGCAAATTGTTCTGGAGCACATTCAAGGGCGATATAAAACGGCTGAACATGGAAACCAATAGCGTTTAGGGACAATGAACATTAGAAAAACCTTATAAGACAAGTAACAACTTTACCCCATAATATTTGCAATAGCCTCCGGATTTTGTTTAAAGATAAGCGGAGCATCAGGACCGCCATCTGGCGAAGTAATAGAGGGCACCAGAAGGTCAGCCAAAGTGCAACCAAGGATACAAAGATTTTGCAACCCCGTTTCTAGGTGTTGGAGTGCTATGGCAGAGCACCCACCGGATCTATCGTAGATTAACTTGACTGTCTCCAATAGGCGCAAAACTAAGGGTGAATGTACCAGAATACGCGATTGGCTTGATGGCGCATCTGCGCGTTCTTCGTCGGTGGAGGAGTCTGAATTCGACGTTCCCGAGGTCTTTCGACCCTCGACCTCAAACGACCCAGTCACAGATGCATTTGAGGGTAAGAAAAAGCTTAGAGGCGACGCTGCTGTTGCTGAAATAGAATCATTTGGTTTCTTCGGTCGTCGATTTCTCTTCCGGTTAACCGCAGCTCCCGATCCACTTCTCCTTACAGTCAATAGCTGTGAGTGCGAAACAAGTTCCGCATCATAGGAGGGAGAAGAAAGTCCTATAGATCACGAAACAAATGTCCAAGCGCTCACCTCTACCGTGGAGGCGTCAACATTGACGAGGAGAGCGGAGCATCGGAAAGCGTTGCGTGAGAGCTGAGGGGAATGATTAGAGAAACGGGACAGTGATCTAGGTCGGATGACGGGAGGGGGAGCGACGGCACGTCGAAGAAGAGTAGGGGCAAAGCTCAACCACGAGGTAAGGTCATCCATGAGCCGTCCACGGAAAGTTGTAGCAGATTCGGTGGTAGCCTGAAGAGCAAGACCGCTGGTGTAGTGCTCCAATACAGAGGCACTGATGGGACTGTGTAAAGTGAGTTCGGGACCGCCACCGGTGCCCAGGCTGCTCTGTGTTCCATCGTCAGAGGACTCCATGTCCGCGTGGCAGACGGTTCCTACTTCCACAGAGTCATCGTTGTCGGCGGAGGCGTAGCGCTCCACCGAAGAGCCATAGTGCACGGTCACAGCCGAAGCGACCGAGCGCGCTGTAGAGCCGCTGCTCCCGCCACAACAATAATTCTTCCCCAACACAGCCGGGCCAATTCCTTCTCCAAGGCACCAACAACTGTCCCATTCATAATCGTACCACTTTCTGTTATATTTGAAACAAGTCTATAAATGACCTCTTTTTCACTACGAGATTCAAATGCTCTTCAATAAAAATTCCTTTCAGAACTCACTCAATGAGTAAGGGGATTTCCGTAAGGTCACTAAAATTGTTCGGCGTTGAAGAGATAGAGGCACTAAAACAGGGCACACCCGCAGAGACGTTCGGTGTGATGGAGGAGTAGAAGACGTTGCTAGTGGCTTCTCCATTGTTGCCAGCAGCACCCCCACTCCCACTCCCACCAACTGATGATGAAGCAGCAAGCAATCCTGCAACCATTTTTCGATTCCGTCCCGCCATACCCATGGTCCAGGTATGCTCCCGGTGCTTAGATGTTGATGAATCAGCATATCTAGATGCAAAAGAATCAGTCGATTAGGCACAAGAAATGCTTCATGAAACCTCAAAAACACGGTAATGGAAAAAAATCGTTTAAAAGCAATTCCACTCAATGATCGTGGCACAATTATGACCAATTCTCATCAGTAAATAAAATATGGGACTGCCAATATTAAGACACTGAATAAAGAACGGTGGAAACGCAATCGAATGCACTATATCCAAGCATTTTTAATCAACTACAACAAAAATATAAGCATATCATACTTTATTCAGCGTATTGAACAGCAAGAACAAATTGCAAAAAAAGGGAATTAAAAAGTCCGAGTAACAAAAAAAAATTGTTAAAACATACTTCCTCACTTGAAATAAGGGCAATTTTGTTCGCATTACACAAGCCCTATAATAATAGTGAATGGTACCGTAGCCTGAGCTAGTGAGCTACCACTTGAAAGGTGGTAAATGCAATTTGAAACTACATTGAGCATCTCACGCGCAATCTTAGATTCCCATAACAATGCAGGTGTGTGTACCGCTCATCGGGTTCGCGTTTAGAAACGTAGAATTTCTAATGCTTTGTAATAAAAGGACGAAAAGAAAGTCTCTTTTCAAAGGACAGGCAAGTAGAGACCCACACGGGTGAAGTGGACGAGGGATGCTGTGGAGGGTTGTACTGTTGCTGTTGTTGCTGCTGCTGAAATGGTTTGGTTGCATTAGCGGCGGCAACAGCAGCAAATTCGCGCGAGACAAGGGCTTGAGCCGCGGCCTCTGCAATGCGGCACTGCTCATGAGTCAGGCGACCAGGAAGACAGATGGCCGAGGCACCGACGGGAGGATGACTGGGACTTGAGCCAGCGCTGGATGAATATTGCTGGAACGTTTGAAGCACAGCAGCACTCAGGTCCTCCTGTGAAGCGATACCCGAGTCATAAATGTCCACTACTCCACCGCGTTGACCAGCCATCAGAGATGCACTCAGCTGACTACTTGACTTGCGCCGACTGCCGCTGCCGCTTTGAGGGCGTTGCAAGGACTGCAAAAAACACAATTCATTCATGGGAGGTGAACGCTAAATAAAGTGGAAAACACTAGGCAAACAGGGAGACAAGGCTACAGTGTAAACAGAATAAAATAGGTAACGGAGTTGAAGACTTTAGGAGTATCGCAGACACATACAAAGAACAAATTGGTTAATGCTAACTAGAACCGAAACCTTAAGAAGGAAAAGTGGTACAAATACCGACATTGACGAATGCAACACACCTTTCGTTTTCGTTGCTCTAATTCATAGAGGTCAGCGATGCCCAAATCAGGAAGCTGTTCATGCGCCTGGAGGAGGAAATATGGAGGTCGGAGAAAGTAGGAGCTGAAATAGAGTAGGGCCAGAAGACGGTCTCGATGCTGCTGTTGTTGAAGTCCATTTCCACCAGCATTGCCATAGATAACAGTAGTCGCCAAGGCGGTGCCTGAGGTGTTTAGAATTTTGGCGTCCTCACAGGAGTGGCGATTCAAGTCGCAGCCTGACTGAACCAGGTGCTGAATCAAAAGTGAATTCTCCACCCCACCTCCACTTGTCATTACTCGAGCAAAGCCATCACTCAGCTGAGAAAACCATATCAAAAAAATGTACGAACACCAATATTCCCTTGTCGACCGAGCAATACAGGCAAAACTTGCAGCAACAAATGTGGTAACTTAGAAGTAAAAGAAATTGCAATAAAAAATTCGGCACTTGTAAAAAAATGAAACGCATTTGAAAGACCAAATAGTTATAAACTAGTACTCACAGCTTCACAAACAGCCCATTCTGAGTCAGCGCTAGGGTTTTGAATTTTCAGCATAACCGTAGGTATCCAACCACGATGTTGCATCAGGACACCGGTCACGAGCTGTGCCAAAAATCTACAAAAAGCACAAGGAGGGATGAAAAAACCAATACCACTAGTATAAGTGGAGTTCAGAAAGCAATTAGAAAAACGAAATCATATTAATAAGCTCACCATTTACACTTAAGTAATTTTATCCGATCCAAAAAGTTAAACAATTACTGGTGTCAATAACAGCACGTTCAAGGAGGCGAGCGCACCTACTCTGGTTAAAAATGTTAGACGTAAGCATGTCTATACGCTCCAGAAAATGGCACATTTAAGACTATAGTTGTAAGACAATCGAAACAATCAAAACATACTGACAACGATCCTTGGACATGCTCCTCGAGATTAGTGAGCATAGACACCCGCGAACAAAGGAGTTAGACATTGACTCATAATGAGTGGGAAGAGGTGTTATGTTCAGTGGGAAGCTCTGATACGGACTGGATCCTCTACCAGACAACCGTCTTGACCCGGTAGGTGTATCAGACTGCGAGGCGTAAGCTAGTGAAAGACTGGGCCAAACAGGACGGCAAAGCCTGGGAATGCAGAGATCGCGGAAAGTGCGCTGAAAATCCGTAAATGCCCGATTGATTTTTTCGTGGGTTTCACTAAAGTTTGACTTTTGGGAATGATTAGCTGCACTGGTTGTAAGTAAACGTCCAATCATTTCAGAAAGCGACTGAAACGATACGCTAATCTGGAGAAAATGATCAAAAAGTAGTGCGTAGAATCGTTCAAGCAGATCGACCGGAAGGATCTGCTTCGAACTGAGCGAGAATCCAGCGGAAATATACTTGGCAAGGGAATGAGCCCAATCAATGTTTATTAATACACAGACAGCCACAGTTAAGTCACCAGGAGAGGGTGCCGATAACTAGAAAGTCGTCAACAATAGCTCATATTACATTGTTTGACCAGATGTCATTATCCGTACTTCCTGTCTGCTTTCTGCCGTAAGAGAGAGAAGATGGTGTACGAACGCGCTTTGCCGAAGGATAGTATATGTATGTAAGCAAAACATGGCGACTGGACCTAGAGAAGCATTATAGATGTCAAGAACTACCTAAGGTCATGCAATTTAACAGAAGCTCTCAAATCCTTTTGGTGAGTTAAAGGAAAGGAACCGAAAGCAATTTCAGCCAGAGAAACTTTGCTATCTCCACTGCCAAAAACGGGCAGTCGGGATTGATTCTAAGGAAACGTAAAATAAAATCACTATTACCTTGTTTAGAGATGAATCAAAAACAATAGACTCACTCGATTGTCTTATAACTATGAGACGCAGCGCATTCTTCCTAAAAGTTTTTGACAATTGCCTGAACAAATAAGAGAATGCGGAAGACTTACGCTGCATTGCAGAATCCCTCCACATGATGCCATCTTAAGAAATCCTCAATGTGATGTTCATCAACGTTCTTTTTGAGACTGAAGGCCCTTTTGATAAACGCCAAAGACATCACACCTTCGAGGACAAATCAGGCTAGAAATGAAATGCGGATCACCTTCGGTTAAAGAAAGAAGCCTTGGCTCATCATTGGTCGCAACAAAAATATTTCTAGTCGATTCCTTACTGCTGATTGGTCATCAAAATGAGGCTAGCCAGCATAACCTGGGAATTTGAAGGAGATGGGACATAGGTTCGAATGTATATTAGCCTGAAATTAGTACTCCCCATAGAACTAATAACTTAGCATTGGTGATAATTTATGTTTGATCACAGTAAACATGCTTTGTTATTAAAGGTCGGCCCGTTATAAGGTGGTATAATCGACGGTTTTCTGTTGAAATCGAACGTTGAGCCTGCAGAATGTGCGATTTAGAGCCAAATTAAGGCAAGATTTAGGTATCATAGCTTTTTGGGTCAAGTATTTCGCGCTTTCATAATACTGTTAACGTCAGTGTATTGCAGCTAATTATAATGAACTAATAATGTTTCCAAACACATTCTTTACTTGATATTGCATTGCTTTAGTAAAGCTAGCCTGTCAATGTGATTGTTTCCGAGGTAGACTATAGTGAATGTACGCAGTTAATGTTATTGTTGACCAGCTGTACTTGAACACTTATTGACTATTTACCTTCCGTTGATTGGGTGGTTTTGCGAAAAGTTGCGTTTGATCTGTTTAGCTATGGAGGACTTCCAGTATCTTGGTTTGTCTCAGTTTGGTAGAGGTAGCTGTAATCAAACTGGATATCCCGGTCCAACGTTTTACTTAAAGCCAATCTGTCCGATTTGCGATTCATGCTACCGACATTTGTTTTGTAGCTACTGCGTAAAAGTCGGTGAGATTTATTCTTCGAAATCTGATGGATCTACGAGGTTTTTCTTATAAACATGCTAAATTAGCAGCTATGTAGCCTTGGCATGTCGAATTGAGGCGAATCGCCGGACATTGCTAGAACTTTCTTCGAAGTACTCTTTAACATTAAATTGATTTGCGTAGGATCCTCGAGTTGTCTAATTTAAAGCCAAGTGTGGTTGATTATGGTGCCGTAAGTCGTTTTTTTCTGGTATGATGTGTAGCTGTCTACATTGGAACAGGAAGCCAAAAGTGTTCAAGGAGCTATTCAGCATCTAAGGAATGTTATTTCCGAGAGTACTGTCCGACGCATTCTTGAATCTTTTTAGAACGACGCAAATTGTCTGCTATACGGATGAAAATATGCGCTTGTCGTGAAGCCAAACATGAATTAAGTCGGAATTTCTCACGGTTACAGGTACACATGAAGTATGTTGGGAAGGTGCTTGAATCAACCTTTTCTACGTTCGCCAAATTCAGTGCGCATCTCTATAAACTCCGAAAGGAAAATATTCGGGAGCTTTTCCAACGCTTTCTGCCCCTCAAGATTGCGGTACTCTCTTTTGTCATCAATTATATCGTCGTTTCCTCTCCCAAATTCATCTTTTTTAGACTTCCTCTACTGATCTGGATAAAATATTCGGAACACCATTGAACATGGACAGTCGTCTTCTTTCGGGTAAGGTTACTACCACATTTTAACCAAAACTATATTGCAAGCAGCTAATTAGGCGATTTCAAGTACTCTTCCGTCTTTTGGTTCCATTATCGTCTGTGCTGCAACCAATCACCTTCCTTTATTATTGCTTGCTCAAAGCTATTGGCATCATTACAAATACCAACGAAAGTGGGCTAAGTAACGTTTGTTGCGTACCCGCTCTTTGAATTCTGGTTCTATTTATTCCAATCTTGGCAAAATTATCTGGTTGTAAAGAGAATTCCTAAGGTTGGCAGTGCTGATAGTGGACACATGAGATTAATCTAGTTTTTGGTGATATTATGACATTTATTGTAGGTGGTGGCGTTTTAGTATTGTGGGATTCTATCTTGTTTTCATAAAATGGTATGAAACTTGTTTTGTTGATCTTATAACTTATCACAGTCCCCGAGCCGACCATCTCTAGTCATGCTGCTCTGACGCATATGCTTTTGGCACAACGTACAATGGCTCGGATTCTCGATATTTGGATTCCACTCGATACCCAATGTCTGTTTCGCCTTAACATCTTTGATGACGACTCGCCTCTCCGAGATAGCATCACGCACGTTTACCGCGTAGTGAATCAAGTCATCCAACTGATCTTCGAGGTGGGCGTTAACACCGCCTTCTCCTCGAACTCGCTGAGTTCTCAAGTGGTATTACCGACGAAGGCACTACTAGAGCAAAATAGGCCTCTCCTCAAACTTCACCTCCTCGCCGAGGCCTTCCACCACGACCTTATGAAAGCCCAGTAGGTTCATGCCTCTTGGTTGAGTCAGTGAGGATATCTTTGAAGTTGACTAAAATGGACTTAAACCTTTGGATTGCAGCGATCGGTCTTGGTGTTGTGCTAACTACATGTCTCGAGTACTTGGTTGTACTGATTCTAAAACATTACCTCCTTAGATTTGAGGAAATTACGAATGCTGATGCCACGTTTTTTTGCCATTGTGACGCCCACAATAAATAAGTATTTGACATTCTGGCTTCTAGTAAATGGAATGTTGCTACTTAACCTCCAATGTTCCTAACTGGAAGGTAATAGTTTGTTCGTGGTGTAATTCCTTCTAATGTCAAACGTTAACTCACTCCCGTCGATTGACGCATAGTTCAAAAAATAATGGGCAGTCATTAGTGGCATGCCAAGCTATCATTTAAGGGCCGGTGATGATGTTTCTATAGTTTTCCGACGGATATTTTCCCTCTTTAAAGGTTATTCGATGGGCCTTACCGCTTTCTCAGGGGCGATATGTTTTCATCGATTGGACACGAATTTGCTCTGTGTCCTCGATCTCATAAAGGCAAATTTAATCGCTCATCAGTTCTGATTCGTCGAGTTGGTGAAGGTCGTACACGGTCCGGCGTACCTGCTGCCAAGAGACCAACCGTTGGAGGCTGTGTTACCCAAAACCTTACCAATGACGCATCGGAGCTTACGTTAATGGATTGGGAAATCATTCCCCGCGATGCCTTTGAATCCTGAAAACCAGACTCCCAACCTTTCTGTAATCTATCTTCTTCTCCAGTATCTGTTACTCACGTTATCATTTTTAAGCTAGCGGGCTATGCACAAGCGTGCGGATTGGGTCTATGACGCACATGCTTTCCCCCGTGTGAATCTATCTCCATATCTATCACCATATCAACTTGCGAGGAGGGTATGCACTGTCTAGTTCAGCAGCCTCCTCCCCTTTCCGTCGGTTTATGGGCTGGATTCCGCGCTGCCTAAGGCGGTTTACTTCAGGGAGGTCCAAGTTGCACTTTTAAACGTAATGTATGGCTGGTGGGGGAGTTGGACTACTGGCGGTTCGATAACGCAGATTTGATGAGAAGAGAGGCGGGTGGGTTCTTTTTACACGGCCCGGGAGGACTCTCCTTCCTCATGCGGTTAGGTATACTGAGTCACCCGAAATCTTTGAGAATTAGTGAAATGGACTCAATAACATTAAACAGCTTGTCTACAATCGCGATGCCTTGTTTATTCGACTATCTGGTGTTTGGCGGTCACTTTAGACTTTGTCTGATCCTTGTACACGTGGACTGGCCTTCTGGCCACGCTCAGGCTCCATTTGTCTTGTCGTCTTCGGAATACATGTATTCAACCTCACTTATGCTTTTGAAGACCTTCTACTGCAGCTTGTTCTTCATTGGTCGTTTGGTAAAAGCGACATAGTGTCCGGGAAAATCTATTGCCCAACAGACACCGCTGTCTTACTGACATCCTACATCTGCGTTGCTAAACTTTGCCAATTAATCGACTAATTTCCGGAAAATAACAGTGCAAACAAACCGACGAGCAATGGTTCGATCGGATGATGCACTGGTTCAATACATGCAGATAT